AAGTATAGACTTCCTTAATAAAAAAGTTATGCATATTTTTAACATTTTTGTATCATATTACTAATTTGCCCTTCACAAACTTTATACCAATTTATTTGTGTAGATTTATGTGCATAACAACCTATGTTATTGCATACTGGCAAACACTAGATACTGCTATTCTGATAGGCAAAAACAAACAAACAAAAAAACCAAAAGGGATTTCCTTTTAAAAAAGATTTATATTTCTCTTATTACTAGAAGGATAGACCATTGTTTTCTTTATTTGGAGTTCAGCTGGTAAGTCTTTTTTGTGAATTGCCTATTCTTATTCTTTGGTTAGCTTTACTGTTGACATAGAGAAAATACTCTCTAACAGGTAATACAGCATTTCTCTGCTGTGATACTTTCAAGGGGAGAATGATTCATGAGCTTAATTGAGAGGATGAGTACTTCTGAGAAATATTAGCTGCTGCCATTACTCTCTGCAAAAAAAAAAATATCCCAGATGTTATACTGTGGGAGATTAGGCAGTTACTTTCATTCATTAGGCAGTGTTACTGAACTCAGGTCCGGCTTCCTGCCTCCTTGAGAAGGAAAGAAAAAAAGGACTCAGAAGTCAGTGGTTAGTGTTAGAAGAGCAGATGTATTCAGCTGAAGTAGACAGTAGGCTATCCCATCTCAATGATTTAGATTTACTGAGGGGTTTTTAAAGGAGGGGTTGAGGGAATGGATGTGGGAGGTGAAAAGCAGAAGGAGACATGAGCTGCGAGGGGTCCATGTCTGTGGGTCAGGTACAAGATCTCGCCAAGGCCTTGTCCGGTTTCTGTACTCATCTTCGCTGTTATCTCAGGACTCGATTTGCTTCAGTGTACTCGGCTGGTGCCCAAGGTCAGCTTCAGTCATTTGGCATTGATCATTTCTCAAAACTCTACAAGTCTCAAAGAAAGAACTCTTAGCTTTGCAAAGAACTAATTAGCCTCTTGGCATTGTTTTCCTATTTAGCAAGCAAGATAAGAAAATCAGGGGATGGGAAGAAAGAATGGAGAGAAAAAAACTGTCCTTTTTGAAATCCCTTCCCAACTCCCCCACCGCAGCCCTGGCTGTTTTAGGTCCCAACATGGCTTCAGTCCTGCTCACCCCAACAGCAGTATTGGTGCCTTATTCTTTTCTAGGGAAAAGGTCTAGCTTCTCTGGTTTGGCTTAGAAATGTTATTATTGTTTTAAGAATAAAGATATATTGTATCTTACCATGGGAAATTGTAACTGTTGTGTTTGTACTGTTAACTCAGGGAAAAAAAACTAATATCTTTCTTAATAAAGATATCACTATTTTCAATTTGATCAAGGTAATCTGTAGTCTCTGATTATGTGTATTATACTGCTTTAACTAGGATGGCGTAAGAGAGGAAATTCAAGTTTTTCTGTAATCATTATTTGTGATGATTGGGTTTACTTCCAACAAATGAAAAAAGGCAGAAAGAAGGAAGGGAAGAAGGGAGGGAGAAGTTGGGAGGTTCCCTTTTTCTCTTAGAAGTAGTTTTGGTTGGTTTTGTCTTTTCTTGAAAATTTGGTTCTTTCTACTTCAATTTCTTTCTTTCTTTTTAATTTAACTGATTTAATTGAGCAAAGAATGATTCATAAATTGGGCAGCCGCCAGAATCAGAATAGGTTCAGAGCGAGTCTGGGGCTGCTGTGTGGTTGGCTAAGATTTAGAGATAGGAAAAGGAAAGTGAGGTACAAAAACAGCTGCATTGGACATTTGCCTTATTTGACCATGCTTTGAACAGTTGGCTGCCTGTAATTGGCTAAGACAAGGCTACTTGTTACAAGAGTAGGTTACAGTCTGTTTATACATTAAGTTAGGTAATAGATCACTATGTCTGAAGAAACCTTTAGGCAAAACTTAAAGTAACCCCCCCCCCCCCCTTTGGTCAATCTCTCAATTTTGGGAGATCGACCAAAACTTAGGCACTGACATCACTCTCTGTCACCAGGTAAATGGTCTTGTGTGGTCTCAAATTCCACTGAGAAATAGTAGAACACTAGCTTTTATAAGGTGAGATCTAGAAAAAAGAACAATAGTAAAAAACTGATAAACATTAGGTTACTTTTTCATAAGGGTTTAGAGGAGAGGGGACTTTATTATGCTGGAATCTCCTGTTTTCAGGGAAAAAAAACCTTATCTGTTTTGGGATCTATCTGCTTTCTTAAAGTTTTAGTTTGATTATATGGTACTCAGCATGAGTGACTCCATTTTGCTTTTATCTGATCTGTTGGAGATTAGTGCAGGAACTCAGTCCAAAACAGTGGCCTCCTGTAATTTTGTTTTATAATTCCCCCCTTTTGGTCAGGTTCTCACCTAGGTGAGAGTATGACCAAAACTTAGGGCATCAGCGCTACTCTCAGTAACCATCACTTTGGGTACCTTCACAGTTACCAGTCTTAACATGTTACCTCAATTTCTGAAGGTTGGTATCTTCCTAATAAGAGCAAGATAGTTTTTAATTTTTATTTTGAAGTAATTGCAGATTTTTGGGAGATTGCAGGAAAATTTACAGGGAGATCCCATATACTAGCAAGATTTTTTTTTTTTAGTTGAATGGTCAAATATTATTTACTTAGAAAGATTAGCCCTCCCTAACAGTTAGATAAGGTTGCTATTTGTGTTCACTGAATTTATAATGGCCTGTTCTTCCATGGTGGCCTGATTTTGCTTTTTTTGTTTTTTTAAGGTTTAGATAGGCATTGGAAATGCTGACTTGGCTTGGTACTGGGAGCGTAGAATGTGTAACTGTGGCCAGAGGAGGCCCCACCAGTGTGATTCGAGGCTACTGTAATATAGTGAAAAGAATGTAGACTTCATGTTTGAAAGCCTAGATTCCAGACTGCACTCAACCACATTATAAATATGTGACCATTGAAATCCAGTTTTACCTTCCTCCTTACTTATTTGGAATGCAGATAGAAAGCAATATGGAAACTAAAGCCCTGTGCTATCAATATTATTATTTTTAAGAACTTTTTTACAACAATAATAAAAAACATCTCCTTTACTGGTTATAATTCCTGTGATAAAAATTATTCCTTTGAACAACAAAGGCAGAAGAATTTTTTTGCATTTTCTACTACATTTACTTTTAAATCAAAGTAATGGTTTAAAAATATCAAATAATACAGAAGAACTTGCAATAAAAAACAACAGTTCTCTGCCCTACCCCCCACACCTGGTCCCACTCCTCAGAGGCAATGATTTTTAACAGATTCTGTTTCCAGTTCATCTGCTGGTTTCTTGTGTATCTCTGAATAATATGCCTCTACTCTTATTTCTTGATTTATCCATTTTGGACCTCATCTATTGACTCCCTGCTGTAAAAACTGAGGATTTAGCTCACTTAACATTACTCCCAACCAATTCTCTTTCCTTCACCTCACCATGCTTGATAGTAGTATTTTAATGAGATTTTTAAATACACTTTTGAAAATACAAGTAGCATACAGTATAATTTACTTTTTTGATGTACAGTTCTATGAATTTAGGCAAATACATAAAGTCATGTAACTACCACCACAGTCACAATATAGAACAGTTTTACCACCAAAAAATTCCTTCATGCTGAAGGGCAGAAGAATTTAGACAAAAAATTTTGTCAGAAAAGTTGTCCAAAAAGATGCACATGTCATCTGGGAAACTGAAAAGAATGTAGTGCCCATACTCTCACACAGTAACACCCTCTCATCAGATTAATTGGTTGTTATCTTGGCTTCAGTAAGCCCAAAGCTTGGCAATGGAGATGGTGACTGGGAAGACAGAGGTGAGCCCATCTGGGACCCTGTGACTGTTCTGACAGTACTGTTTGGCTTAAGAGCTCTAATTTCAGTATATATTTAAGGTGGGATTCTTGCTTCCATTCACAAGTGAGATATCATAAAATCCCTGAATTGTATATTCACACAGCCAAAAGACAGAAGTGAGAATGTAATGACCAGATCATAATCATACATTTGTTGAGCACTTTTTTAGGGTGCTAAATACTGTGCTGAGTGCTTTACACTCTCTCTTTGAATCTCATTGAATGCTCAATAATCCTACGAGGTAGGTACTGTAATTACTCCCATTTTACAGATAAGGAAGTTGAGGTGGCACATGGTTAGGTAAATGACCCAGGATCACATAAATGCTAAATGGCAGAGTTGCTTCTCAGTTCAGATCTGTCTGCTGCCAAAGCCCATATCCTTACACTATAAGCCATTTTTTTTTTTTTTTTTTTTACAGACAGGAAGTAGAGGACCTGAGAGGTTAAGACCTATGGTCACTCTCCTTCCTATACTTAGTCTAGGTCTTTTTCTTCATGATATCCTCTTAATAATTTGTCTATTACTATGTATTTTATAAAATATTTCTGGACTCTGTGCATTCAGCTAATGTGTCAAATTGATACAAAAGTTACTCAGTTTTTAAGCTTTTAGGTAGAATGAGATTTAGATTTTTAAAAATGGAATTATCAGTCACCCAATTTGAGTTTTTAGTGAAGCATTTTCTGTCAGACTCCTATAAAGGAGGCACTGTCTCCATGTGCTATTAAAAGTTGAATCTTGTGACTACTGTCTGACTATGTTTTTCTTTTAGAGAAGTCAAGAGGGTACAGTCTGTGACCTCATGTATAAAATAGCCACCAAGGATCTGTCCAGCATCATTTTTAGTTCTTTAATTTTGGTAAGCCCACATTTTCAAAACAGGTTAAATTTGTCTGATTTATTTCAGAAGTATATATTACAAAGCATTCAAAGATGAGTGAGAATTCAAATGCACAGAGCAGTACTAGAGAACTTTACCAAGAGGTCCTTCAGGAGGTAAGCATTTCTCTTGGAACCTTTGGTTATTGTATTTTCGGAAATATATTCTCATTCTTTTCATTATTATTAAGAGCATAATAATTGATATAAATATTTATTTTGATAGTCAATTGACATATCACTAAAATTACTGCCTTTCTTTTTTTCACATTTTCAGGAGACAGAAGAAGATACAGATAGACTCGCAAATTCTAGAAGGATTCTACCATTTTCTTGTTTACCCTGAAGACACTTGGAAATTAATGGGTAACACATTTCATGAAAATTTCTAAATGTTTTTTTTTTCATATCTCTGAGGCCTTTTGTGGAGAATTAATAGGTTGAATGCACGCATGGATAAAATGGATCATCTTAAAGGATTGAAGTTCCAAAAATATATCAGCAGGATTGGACAGGTTTGACATAATGAGATTTCTATTTTAGCTTGATTTCTAGAACTCTGAATAAACTATAAACTGAGCTACACAAGGTCCTAAGAAGGAAGTTTCTCTTCTAAACTATTCTAGTCGCATATAACATTTTTCTTCTTCAGATCCTTTGAAAAAGTATATTTAGTCATCAGTTTTCTAAGGTATATGACTATTAGACACTTACCAACTTTTAATATATGAAGTGGGATAGAAAGCAGCAATCAATACCATACTGGAAAACAAACTGAATTAAAGAAATAGACAAAGAAGAGGAAAAATCTCTACATAAGCACTGATTGAGATGGCAGAAGCTTCTGTAGATGCCTCGACTCAACCCATAACAGTGAAGAAAAAGAAAAGCCTATCCATTGAGGAAAAGATCGACATCATAAATGCAGTAGAAAGTGGCAAGAAAAAAGCAGAAATTGCAGCTGAATATGGAATAAAGAAAAATTCATTGTCTTCTATTATGAAGAATAAAGACAAAGTTCTAGAAGCCTTTGAATCTCTGAGATTTGATCCAAAGAGAAAAAGACTGAGAACTGCTTTTTACACAGATCTGGAAGAGGCATTAATGAGGTGGTATCGAATTGCTCAGTGTCTAAATGTTCCAGTTAATGGTCCAATGCTGCGTCTGAAAGCTAATGATTTTGCCCAGAAACTGGGACATAATGATTTTAAGTGCAGTAATGGTTGGCTGGATCGTTTTAAATCCAGATATGGTTTGGTCTTTAGAGCTCAACCTGTAGAAGCTACAGGTGAAGCAGTAGACCCTTCAATTGTCTGGTACCAAAATGTATTACCTTATTATTTAAATGATTATCATGCTAAAAATGTTTTTAATATAAAAGAAACTGGGCTGCTTTACCGAATGTTACCTACAAATACATTTGCATTTAAAGGAGAAACATGCTCAATTGGAAAGTTATGCAAAGACAGAATAACTCTGGTGGTTGGCACAAACATGGATGGCTCAGAGAAACTTCCTTTGCTTATCATTGGAAAAAACAGAAATCCACATTGTTTCAAGGGTATAAAATCATTGCCTGTGTATTATGAAGCTAACAGAATGGCATGGATGACCTCAGATGTATTTGAACAATGGATGCAGAAACTTGATGAGAAATTTCAAGCCCAACAACGAAGAGTGGTAATTTTTGTTGAATCTCTTCCCGCACATCCAGAGGTAAAGAATCTAAAGTCCATTGAGTTAGCATTCTTTCCATCATGTTTATCTTCCAAATGTATAGCTATGAAACAAGGTGTTATTAAAAGCCTTAAAGTCAAATATCGATTTAGTCTTATCAATAAATTTTTAAGCTCTGTTGAAGATAGCAAAGAATTTACGTTTTCGCTACTAGATGCAGTTGATACATTGCATCTCTGTTGGAGGGCTGTAACCCGAGAGATTATTGTTAAAAGCTATGAAGAAGCAGGATTCAAATCTCAAAAGGAAGAAAGTGACACAACACATGCAGAGAGTGAAACTGTTCTTGATTTTCTTGCCCATGCTGTGGGAGCAGGAGTGGAATTTCCTGAAGGTTTATCTATAGAGGAGTATGCTGCCCTGGATGATGATTTGGAGACATGTGAAGCAGCTCCAACTGACGATTCAATATTGACCAAAGAAAGTAAATCAGATGAAACCGTATTTTATACTTCTGATGAAGAGGATGATGGGGGATCTCTAGGAACTGAACTCCTTTTGCCATCAAAAAATGAAGCAATAACTGCTTTAGTTACTCTTAAAAATTTTCTTAGAAGTCAAGATATGAATGATGGACTTCATAATTCTTTAGCAGACCTTGAAAATTTTATTAACCATTTATCACCTAAATAATTATTTATTGTGCAACATCTGAAGAGTAATAGCTTTTCCTGATGTGTTTTAATATATAAGGTATGTAAAGGATAAATACCACTTAAACATAAAATATGAAGTACTAGTAATCTTTGGTTTAATTGCAAACGTCTTTTTCCTGAATAGCAAATCTCCCTGGTAAATAATAATTAAGTAAATGAAAATTACAAGTTTCTATTTAGAAAGGTTTTGGGGAGTAGAAAATATATTTCAGGGGCTTTGTATTTGACACATATGGTATACATGTCAAACATGAAAAGAACTCTCCAACTGTCTGATTCATATACATTGGATTGATGATTGCTATTTTCTTTTTTAAGTTTAGGTCATGTTCTAGATTATTTTAATTGATCTACTTAGTCTAAGAAACAAAATATCTACCAATAGCTTATATATTTATTTTTATAAGGACATATATATGCCATATGTATTCTAACCAAGCTTTTAAGTATCAAATATTAAAATAATTTAAAATTACTTAATTTTAAGTAGTTATTTCTCATAACTAGCAAACCTTCCTAATAAGAAATTATGAAAAACTACTGAAAATAAAATCTGACTTAACTATACACAAAAATGATTAAAAATATATTTCTTACTATTTTAAAATTATTTATATATAATGTCAAATGAAAGGCTATGACACTGTCAGGTGTTTTTGGGTCATCTATAACCAGATGATGTGAATTCTTTCTAAATGTTTATATGTATATGTGTGTATTTAATAGAAAAATACATTACTGAGACATTTTTTAAACTCATATTTTAATAAGATTACTCTTAAAAAATAAATGTGAAGACACATACACAGTTACTAAAAAAGAAAACATGTGGTGCTTAGATATTTTTCTAATTTTAACAGCTCAAGTTTTTAATCTATACTAGGGTACTTGAAAAAGTTCATGGAAAGAGTCACATTACCTTTTAATTCTATTTTTCCATGAACTTTTTGAGGTTCCCACATAATATTTAATTATTTTCTTGATTTTATTGCATTTTATTTTCAGGAAAAACTAAATGTCCTTTCAGCATATTTGATATATTTAATCCTTTTTCTCCCAAATTTAATGGGTAACATTTTAGATTAAAATTCTCTTTGAGGAAGTTTTATCTACAGAGTGTTTTAAAATATTGTATGAAATTATTTAATCTCCATCTATAAAATAATATTTAAACAGAAAATTATAACAATGTGTCAGACTTTTCCATTGTGAAATTTTAAATTTATGTTTATTTAACATATTATACCTAATTTAAGGTTCCATTTGAAAAGCATTTTGTAAAAATTTAAAATACAGATTATTTTTATTATGAATTATTATTTGTCTGTCAACGGATGACACATTTAGGAGAAAATATTTATAGAAAACATTTTTATTTTCTGCTGTTGATTTACTTCACTTTAGAATAGAATTTATTCTGATTTATAATAATAAGCCTAAAAATTGTATTAAAATTAAGAAAGTTTCTTTTAGAGTTAAATGTAGATTATTTAAATTGAAAGCATTTTATTGATGGTTTGATTTAAAATTCTTTTTTTTTTTTTTTTTTTTTTTTAAAAGATGACCGGTAAGGGGATCTCAACCCTTGGCTTGGTGTTGTCAGCACCATGCTCAGCCAGTGAGCAAACCGGCCATCCCTATATAGGATCCGAACCCGTGGCCTTGGTGTTATCAGCACCGCACTCTACCAAGTGAGCCACGGGCCAGCCCCTGATTTAAAATTCTAATTTGGTAGAATCATTGACCAAAAGGAACTCTTAAAAGCTGCACCCTTAACTATTGTATCTGGCATATATTGAAAGCTCAATAATTTTTTTTTTTCATTTTCCACTTGATACCATTTTGCTATCTATTTTACTTAATCATTTGAGATATTCTGTGATATAAGAATTATTATCTCCATTTTTTCAGATGAGGAAATTAAAACCTGAAAAGATTAAATGATTTGATTAAAATTTCAGAGCCAAAAGTGAAATGCAGTAGTTCCCTGTCTCCTAGTCCTGCATTTCTCTAACTATATACCACAATGCTTCTTATCTATACTCTATAAAAGAAAATTCTGTTATTTTTTTTCCTTGAGTTTAGGGGACTGAGAGCAAAATATTTCAAGAATGTACTGGATCCATGCTGATAGCACTATTCATAAAATCTCTCCTCAGAACACTGTTACTGGGCCGGCCCGGTGGCACACTGCTACAGTGCGCCGCTTGGGAAGCGTGGTGGCGCTCCCGCTGAGGGTTCGGATCCCACATACAGACCGGTTCCTGCTCACTGGCTGAGCGAGGTGTGGGAGCAACACTGAGGGTTGTGATCCCGTTGCCGGTCCCGGTCTGGTACGGGCGCAACACTGAGGGTTGCGATCCGTTGCCGGACACGAAAAAAGACAAAAAAGGAAAAAAAAAAAAAAAAAAAGAACACTGTTACTAATGAAATACTGAGGTACCTACGGTTTTGGCAGTTCTGTACCACTTTATCTCAGAAGTTCCTATACACTTCTTTTGAAAATACTTAAAGTAATTTTAATATTTTCAGAATGCTGAAGGCACCGCTTTTCTCCCCCCTCATAAGAAGGGATCCGTTTCTTACTCTAAATACTTCTGAGGTATAATAAATCTAAAGATGATAAATTTAAGACAATGCTACTGTAAAATAAGAATAAGAAAAAAATGCCTACAGATTTAAATTTAAAGATAAACTTTAAGTTAGTTGTTAATTTTATATACTCTTCTGTGTGGTTTATAAGATGTATAAATTTAAATAATTTTCCGAACAAAACTAAATGTCACTTGTCTTTTCAAAAAACAACTTGATTTATTATAATTTGTTTTTCAATTAAATGTGACATTATTTTCATTGTTTTTGTCTTACAAATTCCTATTGTTTCAACAATGTTTTTGTTTCTTTCTACTTCATGGAGAACAAATATTGAATTTGGGACATTGTTTTACTACCAGTGGCTAGTAAACTGCTAGAGAAAGGTTTGGTTCAGGATGAAGTAGATCAATGAGTAAATCAAGGCTGTGAGTTTCATGTTGCCTGCCTGGCTTCTCATTTGGACCTGAGATCAAATCTCAAACCTTCCTTTCACTGTATGCAAAGCAGGTGAATAGGAAGGAGGAGGAGAGGTGGGGAGGGAGAGTTGTTGGAGAGCTTTCCAAGCAAATATCTCAGATGTTGAAAAGCTCCTTTCACTTGCAGGTCCGACAGGGGCTCCGCCTCAGTAGGGACTGGCAGAGAGAGGTTTGTATTTTAGGAGACGCAGCACCACACATCTGCCTGCAGTTCAGAGTTCAGTGATGGGCCAGATATTTGACGTACCAGGAGCTACCTGAGCTAAGTACAGGATGGCATAAGTCAGCCAGGAAGCTATACGAGTTGCTGAAAGAAGATCCTACCACCACAGACGCAAATGCCTACATTGGGGGCCATAGAGTGCATACAATAAGTTACATTTGGTGGAATAAATTAAATCTAGTCCTAGTTCTATGCTACCTTGTGAAATATATTATTTTCTCTGAATCTGTTTCCTCCATTCATAAAATGAGACTGATTATACTTCATTTGAATTTACTTTGAGGATGAAAGAAAATTTTGGATTTGAATGCTTTTAGCAAACTCTAAAGTGTTCCAAACTATAGTGACTAGAAAGGTGCTTCCATGTTACTACTTCCAAATATGTCCAAATATTAACATTGTGGTCTCTAAACATCAGTGACCATTTTCTCATTGGCATTCTTCTGTGCAGTACAATAGGGAAGCCAACATTTCTAGAAATGTGCAATTTATCTATAGAGCTCAAAAACTATATTTTGGATGAGGGAAAAAGGTGACTGAGAAACCTTTATTTTTCCTGAATTGATCCTTATGCAAAGCAATACAATAAAATAATTGCTGATCACAGTGTAGCCCTTTCTGTTGCCACATTAGCTGATTCAGTTGTCCTATTTTCTTGAGCTGTAATTAATGTGAAATCTAGGATGACCCAGAGTTGGGGGGGCATACTAAATAATGAATATACTACTGTATTAGTCTACTCAGGCTGCCATAACAAAATACCATAGACTGTGTGGCTTAAACTACAGAAATTTATTTTCTCACAGTTCTGGAGGCTGGAAGTTTGAGATCAGGCTTCTCCCCTTGGGTTACAGACTGCCACCTCTTACTGTGTGCTTACATGACTTCTTTGTGTGGACATAGAAAAAGAGAGCAAGCTCTCTGGCGTCTGTTTTTATAAAAGCACTAATCCCATCATGAGGACCCCAACTAACCCGCAATTCCTCTCCATCTCCAAATACCATCAGATTGGGGGCTAGGGCTTCAACATAAGAATTTTGGGGGGACAAAACATTCAATCCATAACAACTACCTAATATGAACAAAGGTATTCATATATTCATCAATTTAGTTTCCCATTTGCTAAAAGCTAAAAGGGCATGCATATTTCAGAACTTGTTAATCAGCTGTAGCTGTTAGAAAGGACTTTAAAGTTTATGAAACATACTTTGAAGAAATGGGGGCATATTTTATGTCCTTGAATGAATAGGAAGTCTCAATATTAAAATATATCAGTTTCCCCCAACTTAATCCCAACCAAAATCTCAATGCAGTTTTGTTAAAAACTGCAAAATAACCCTGATTTTCATCTGGAAGAATAAATGTGTATCAATATCTAAGGAAAAATTTAAAAAGAAAAATAATGAGGGAGTACTTGACCTACCAGAAGTCAAAACAATGTGGTATGGGCAAAAGAACTAATAGATCAATCAAAAGAATAACATATCTAGAAAAAGACCAAGAATTTATGATAAAAATAGGGTTTTTCTCAGTGATGAAAAGATGGATTATTCAGTAACTGGTATTGGGGCAACTGGCTAATTATGGAGGATTTTTTTTTTTAAGTCATATGCCAAAATGAATCCTGAAAGGACTAAACTCTTTTTTAAAAAATATGTATTATGGGCCGGCCTGCTGGCGCACTGGATAGTGCGCCGCTTGGGAAGCGCGGCGGCGCTCCCGCCCGAGGGTTCAGATCCCACATACAGACCGGTTCCCGCTCACTGGCTGAGCGAGGCGCGGAGGCAA